AATGAGATAATAAATAAACATATATATAAACAAGTTCAGAATTATTTGTCCACCATGATAGAACATTTTAATTACAATTATTAAATCATTTATTGCAAAAAAAAAACTTTATTTACACACCATTTGAACAACCTGTCAGTAAAGATTTGTTTATTACAATTATTTGTCAACCATTTACTGCAGAAACTAAAATTGAAAATGCATAACTTTACCATCACATCAACTCAACAACCTGTCAGTGAATATACTAAACACAAACCAAACAATACTTTTGTTTGTTAACTTAGTTAACTTTACTGCAATTAATAACTTTCAGTTTATTGGGTCAGTAACAGCTTCAATTCAGTGAGTTCATTCAGCGAATGATTTGTCAGACTGAGTCATTTGCTTGTGAATCAACTCACTTGAGTCATTCATTTGTGAATCATATTACACGTCTCGCACTTTGTTTTGTGTTTGCATGCAGCTTGATAAATGTGTTTTGTCGTCATTATTTCATGATAAACACATCTTTTTATTATCTCATTGCATTATTTTTGGACTTCAAACTTATATTCTCAACTCAGGTAAATATGATTTATTTTGCTGTCACACTGGAGATAACTGCGGTTAAATTGTTCTGCCACTGAAAAGCGTTGCAGGCAACACTGATTGTGAAATGTGTGGATGATCTGACAGTGTGTTTAGCAGGTGACTGTGTGTCACGTGGTCACACTTTGTCTCATCCAGAGCACAAACTGTTAACGTGTTTTAACTGGGTTTTGATACGTTGAATGCTTGTGAAACACCAGCCGTTGTGCTCATTCTTTTGAATGATAAAACTTCTGCTGCTATTCATGGAGCTCAAGAACACTTCTAATTAACATCTCATCTACAGCACGTACACTTATAAAATCACTTTGTTTTCTGTCAGATTCAATAGCCATTGTCAAATACAATTATAAATGTGATACATCATTTGAAATGAGAGAGGGAAGTATTAGAGGAGTAATTAAATAAAGCAAGTGTCCAATAACTACAGATGACAGATTTAACAACAGATATCAAAGACACTTGACAAGAACAAAGGGTACAAAGAATAAATAGAAAAACAACCCCACATACACGCACACATACTAAAACGGCATGTGCCTTTGTGTGGGTGGGTGTGTGTGTGTGTGTGTGTGTGTAAAAGCAGTTCTATGACTTATTGATGTATCATTAGAGCGCTGCCGTGACCTAGACTGAACCTAACCCAAATTCAGATGAGAAGTGAAGAGGGTCATTCCCTCACACCGTCTCACACACACACACACACACACACATACATACACATATACAGCTTACTGCACCTGACAGTGTGGATCTGGAAACAATCTAACTCTGTGTTTCTGTGACAACCACAGGGATGGCAGGAATATGAAATTGTTTTGGAGAAGCGAGAGATAAAGAAAGACAAACATTCCTTGAAGCATATGCCAGCATTTGATAACTCTTCTGTCTCTTCTGCTTTTTCTTCACTGTCGGTCTTTCTTGCTGTAGCACCTGTGTCTTAATTGAAGATCGATGACTGTTGGAAGTGATTGTGTGTTTCTGAAAGACTCTGTAAGTCTGTATATTGTTCAGTTGGCACTCATGTTTTGTAACAAAAACATTTTACTGAGCGACAATGATTTTTCATAATCACTCTCCGTCAGTCGTCACAATCTTCAGAGCTTTATCACATTATTTTTCCTCTAAAGGTTATTTACATTTTGTGGTTTTTCGATGTTACACTAAATGTACAGCACAAATAACACTTAATGAAACATTACTACAACGTCAGCCATGCATCATCCTTGCGTTAAAGTCAAATCAAATGAAGAAGTAAATTCACAATCCATTTACTTGCATAATGTGACTTATTTTAGAGTGAAATATGATATTCATTGAGAAAAAAAGTAGGCCAAGAGAGTCGATTTAGATTTCCTGTTGACTTTAATCATGACATCTGTCGAATGTGACATGGTTGGTTGTGGGGATTTTATGGTTGTAATGTTGTGCGCTGCGGTTGCTCTTGGAGAACGGTCATGCAAACATAGCAGCAGGTGCTCTGAATGTGTGTATGAAGGATTTTGTTTCTGGTTCTGATGATGGTGTTGTTAGCTTGGAGGTGGAGGTTTGTATTCAGTGTTCCCTCTAAGCATACTGGGCCGGATGTGCGGATAGGGAAGAATTCAGGCAGACCAAAAAACTGTGAGAATAAACTTGAGAGTTGAGTCAGAGCTAAATGAATAGTCATTTGAACTGGAGTCCATCCGCACATTCACTGATTTTATTTAATATGCAACTGAAGCTGTTATAAATCTTGTAAATATGCAGCGCTGACTAATTCACAAGATAATGACTACATCCTAGAACAGTATAGAGATTGTGAATTCATACACAAGCCCTCAGAAGCCGTGCAGTATTATTTTTATTTTTATATTTCCACAAAATCTTGAGTTTTTATTTTTGTGAATAGGATGATAGCCTCTAGATAACCAATTATTTTTAGCCACATTATATATTAATATTTATATATTATTTAACTAAATATTTATTTATTTATAGGGCTGTCAATTTAAACAAATTACTTTTGTATGATTAATTATTAAGCTGTAAAAATTAATTATGATCGGCAAACTCAATTACAAAATGGATTATTTTAGCCAGTAATAGATAGATATGGAAACAGAACAAACAATATATTGACTTGTAAAAGCACTTTTTGAAGTTTAGCCAATGCTTTCATCTACAATAATGTCTTTGAATTATGATTTGTTTCATCAATTTGGCTTTCCTCGGCATATATTGATTTATGTTATGAATTTGCTTATCAAATAAATATCATGTAATTAGAATTTTGAAGTGATTGAGCCTTATTTATTTACCAAATGTTCTCAAATCTGATTGGTTGAGAACCATGAGATATTGTACTGGTATCCTCACAGGAACGCCCTTTTACTGCTTGTATCACTCCGCTTCCATTATTTCTCACAGCGAGTGTCATAGCGGACACCCAAATCCACTAAAATGTATAAATAATACTGTTTTTGTGTCACGGAATGTAGTTTTAAAAGGTTTTTAGGCGAGAATGTACTTGTTTAGACTTCAAATCTACGGTTTGTTAATAAAGATAACGTCTATTTGAAAATTTACGTCGACGTTTTCTGAGACGTGAGCTCCAGGGCGTCCGGGGCCGTTCAGCGCTTATGAACCCGCCAGAGCAGCCTCACCTCGGCCAGAACTTCTGGAATTTGCCGCTGGCTCTAATGTCTCTATAGTGGTTAAACATGAGATATAATTCGTTTTGGGTAAATCTGACGGGCAGTCTTTGGTCTCATTAATCTATTTTTTGTTCCAGAGCAAATAATTTCAGCTGAAGGCAAAATCTCATCACGTTATATTTTATGTAACTTTAATGCTGTATATTAGAGCATGGCTTTTATGATGGCTGTTGTTGTTGTTTATTATTCAATAAATAATATTTTATATACATAGTAGTATTTAGTATTAGGAAACAGTGTGTGTGTTCGTGATGGTGATTTTTGTGACATTGTTCCGCCATTAGACGGCGACGAGTGACTGTTTTACGAGTCAGCATTTAAGACTTTTACATTGAAAGAGACTAAAACGGAAGTTATTTTTAATAACAGCTTGTAAGATGAGATATTGTACTGGTATCGCCACAGGAACGCCCTTTCACTGCTTGTGTATCACTCCGCTTCCAGTATTTCTCACAGCGAGTGTCATGGCGGACACCCAAATCCACTAAAATGTATAAATAATACTGTTTTTGTGTCACGGAATGTAGTTTTAAAAGGTTTTTAGGCGAGAATGTACTTGTTTAGACTTCAAATCTATGGTTTGTTAATAAAGATAACGTCTATTTGAAAATTTACGTCGACGTTTTCTGAGACGTGAGCTCCAGGGCGTCCGGGGCCGTTCAGCGCTTGGCGACGTGACTGTTTTACGAGTCAGCATTTAAGACTTTTACATTGAAAGATACTAAAACGGAAGTTATTTTTAATAGTTTATTTAGCAAGGATGCTTAAAATTGTTCAAAAGTGATGATAAAGGCATTTATAATGTTACAACAGATTTCTATTTCAGATAAATAGTGTTCATATCGATATCGGAATTATATCGTATCGACCGAAATTAAGAAATATATTGTGATATAAATTTTGGCCATATCGTCCAGCCCTGGTTCTGAATTGGACTGGGGTCCTTAATTAAAAGCTCACATAACACAGTGAGCTTTTAATTAAGTAATACAATACGTTTTTAATGAAGCATCTCAACGTTCCTTCGTTACTAGCTCTAAAGTGACGTTTTCGAATTAGTAACGGAGGCTTCAGCTCAGCTGTTAAACTGTCAAACTGAGATTTGAATATGTGGCGGAAGGAAGTAGTTCCGCACAAAAAGGTTTTTAAAGACACTCCGTTGTTGTTTTTCATATATATTTACACTCGTGCCGTCGAACTGTTGTATAAACGCAATATCACTCTCGTACTCGAGCGATACCGGCTCTATATCAGCGGCTGTGATTGCCTCCGGCACTCGGCCTGCGGCCTCGTGCCTCTGGCCTCTGGCCTAATCACATCCATGCTGATATAGAGCCGGTATCGCTCTCGTACTAGAGTGATATTGCTCATATATATATATTAGTAAATTGGTGTATGAGGTGTTTTTAAAATATTTATTTATATAATAAATTAAGGAACCACCAAATAAAAATAGATTTTGTGGAGCAAGTAGAAAAATTAGAGGGAATGTTGATTGTATCTGTGTTTGTGAGTGTGTATTTACAGTCAGACTTGGTGAGGCTGCTCTCTCTCCCTCTCTCTCTCTCTGTCTCTCTTGCATCATCCTCTTATTCTGACGGTCTGCATGTGCATGACTGCATGCTGTTTATCTTTCTTCTTTTTCCCTTGGCCTGTCTTTTCCTCACTCTTTTCTTCCTCTCCCTCTTTCTCTTTCTATCCCCCTCTCTCCAGCAAAACAATAAAAGTCAGGATAATTGATGACGAAGAATACGAGAAGAACAAGAGCTTCTTCCTGGAGATCGGAGAACCCCGGCTCGAAGAGACCAATGAGAAGAGAGGTGGGGGGCATGGCCTGAGCTTGCAGAGGAAATCACACATACAACACACACACACACACTCTTAACACCGGTCCACTCTGAAACCTCTCTGCTCTGGATCATCATCGGGATCAACTACAGGCTAAACTCCACCATTGACAGCCCTCCAGCCAGGCCCTCGCGTGTGCTTGTTTGTCTGTATGTGTGCGTGTGTTTCATGCATGCATTATTCCAACCCCCCTCCTGTTGTCTTGTTTCCGCAGGAAGACGTTATCAGTCAGGGTTCTCAATCGAGTGGAATACAATAAGCAATGCAGCTTTTGCATAGAGCTACAGACGCCACTTTGGAGAAGGAGAGGATGGACAGTATACAGAGGTTTCTTTCCCTCTCACAGTGTCTCCTTTGCTTTTTACTCTTCTCTTCCTCTGGGCAGAGTCTCACCTTCTCTCTTTCTCTCCTGGTGTCGGTGTGCTGTCTTACTAATTTAATGACAATTAGTTGCTTTTCTACTTGCACAATAACACATATACATTACACATAAATTGAAGGAGCCAAATTCTACTTGTTTTAATGTTAGTCAAGGATTATTGCTCCAAAACTGGCATAATTTAGACCCAGTTAACACAATTGTGAAGTGTACAGAGCTAAAAATCAAATGTAAATGGTAATGTAGCTGCTAATCTATCCTTATCCGTCCAGTGAGGGACCTCCTACTCATCTGTCAATCAGTCATTGCTCTAAAACGAGGGATTAAAAATTTGCTGGTTATGTGCGGCTTTTAAAGATTTTTTTTTTTTTTAGCAATAGCCTTGTCAGAATCAGGACAACATTTTGGTAGACTTTCTCCATACTCTTGTCTTTAATTATACACCAGTTAAAGTAATAGTATCTTCTGGTGTTTGGGAGCAATAGCATCTACCATAAAAGGCATTGTTAATATTTAAATGTGCACATATTAATGTGCCCATGAACATTTCAGAACAAGTCTTTTATTCAGCTTTATTTCAATATAGACTACCATTCAAAGTTTGGGGTCGGAGGTGATTTTTTTTTAATGTTTTTGAAAGATATCTCTTATACTCACAAAGGCTGCATTTTGTGGGTTGAACATACAGCAAAAACAGTAATATTTTGAAAAAATATTACAATTTAAAATAATTGTTTTCCATTTTAATATATTTTAAAATGTAATTTATTATTAAAATGTAATTGGTGTTGGTTTGAGAGTTTTGAGCTCTAAAGCTTGTACGCATAGTACGCAAAACACTTATTTCAAAAGATCAAGGACAATTAGATTTTTTTAATGATATGACCCTTAATTTATAGTCATAATCATCTCTTACACAACCTTTGTGTTGTTTACCATATAGAGTGTGCTCAGGATACTTTCAGGTTCAGAAAGAAAGCTTCAAAGTGAATTGTTTAATTTGGTTTCCTCGCAATAATCTCATAAATAGACACAAAGGAAACATCAAGACACACCAGCAAATGAGTTTAGATACTGGGCTGTAAATCATGAGGAGAGATTAGGGCAGCTAAAAAGACTCAGAGCTCAAGATTGTGAGTTGTCTTCAAAGCCAAGGCTGTTCGAGTGTGTTTCAGCTCACATTTAGATAAACATTTATTTTCCAGGAAGCAAAACGGCTCTTTTTCCCAGCACTTCAATGTTTTGATGTGTATCAAATGTTTTTATCATATTTATATTATGTTCTTGATATTCATTTAGTTTTGGTTAATGCTGTGTTTTAGCATGATTAATATAAGATACAATAAAAAGAGATCCAGAGATTAAGACATGGAAAATAAAAGAGAGAGAAACATCAGAGTTCAAATCAAACGCAGCTGTTTTTGGTTATGAATTTTTTGATGATGTTTTGCCACTCATCCGTACAGCTTTATCAGTGATTAACAAAAAACCTGATTAAGACACTCAGATGAGTGGCAAAACGTCTTCAAAATAATTAATAATCAAGTCCAGTTGCCTTTGATTAGCTTTGCTTGTAAGATGATTCAACAAGATGAACAAAAGAAGAGACACTAGAAAAATAAAGGACAGCAGAAGAGATGGTTGGAGGAGAATGAGAGGAATGGATGGCTGTGTGTGTGTGTGTGTGTGTGTGTGTGTGCGCGCACATGCAAAATGTGATAATGATAGCTCTGTTTTCATGGACAAAACAAGGAAGAGAGACCCTAAGCCTACAAACAAAAAGAAAAAATATGCAGCATCTCATTTAGTCACCAAAAATTAATCACAATATCAAAATGTAACGAATTTATTTATAATTGCCCTTACTTTATTACACCTAAGATTTTAAGAAATGGTATTAAATAGTTTGATAAATTTTTGTAATAATCTCAACATTTTGTCATTGAAGCCCCCATTACATATGTGACCCTGAACCGCAAAGCCAGTCATAAGGGTCAATTTTTTGAAATTGAGATTTATACAATTTATGTATAATAAATAAGCTTTCCATTGATGTATGGTTTGTTAGGATAGGACAATATTTGGCCGAGATACAACTATTTGAAAATCTGGAATCTGAGGGTGCAAAAAAATGTAAATATAGAGAAAATTACCTTTAAAGTTGTCCAAATGAAGTTCTTAGCAATGCATTCCAAATGAAGTTCTTAGCAATGTATATTACTAATCAAAAATTAAGTTTTGATATATTTATGGTAGGAAATTTACAAAATATCTTCATGGAACATGATCTTTACTTAATATGATTTTTGGCATAAAAGAAAAATCAATAATTTTGACCCATACAATGTATTTTTGGCTATTGCTACAAATATACCCCAGCGACTTAAGACTGGTTTTGTGGTCCAGGGTCACATATAAGAAATTAAATAATTATTTTAATTTATTGGATAATTATTATTTAATATTATTGTATTGCTTATATTTCATCAATTAGTTTATAATAATATCTAAAAGTTTTAAATGTAATTATTTTTTCATAGTAAAATTACATTTCCTGCCTTTTCATTTTTTAGGAGATTGGCAATATTAGTTTTTTTTATATTTGTTTTCTGTATAGTTACTATCATAATTCATGTGACTGACTGCAGAATGTGTGCATGACATCAAACCTCTCTTATTGCTTATATTTCATCAATTAGTTTATAATAATATCTAAAAGTTTTAAATGTAATTATTTTTTCATAGTAAATTACATTTCCTGCCTTTTCATTTTTTAGGAGATTGGCAATATTAGTTTTTTTTATATTTGTTTTCTGTATAGTTACTATCATAATTCATGTGACTGACTGCAGAATGTGTGCATGACATCAGTCAAACCTCTCTGACCCAATTATTGTTCAGCCTGTTCCTCTTCAGTTGTTCTTCCGCTAGTTATTGGTCAGTCTGTTTTCAGCTATTCGTTTCATCTTGACTTGTTCTTCAGTACCTAATTGTTCAAACAGGTCCATTACATTTTGTCAAATCAGGTCTTGTTTTCGATTCAGTGAGTCCTTTACAATCAGCCAAACAAGATAGACAACAACTTTTTTAAATGAAAGGCTGTTATACATGCTAAAACCATAGGTCACGGTCCGGGTGTTCTAAAGAACAGGCAGGACATATTTCTCATATACCGGGTCACAGTGGTCTGTGTGTATTCTATTATAAAAGTATGTTTCGTGAAATGGACCCAGTTTTCTAAATTTATCAACAGAGATCTGTGATTTTGACCTTTTAAAGGATTTTCCTCCACAGAGCCAAATTCTTGTGTTCATTGTAGCATTTTGACAAAAATGTATTTACACAATCCAGTTTATCCACAGAAACCTATTGATCCACAAACAGTCATTTAAAATATAAGGTGGCTGGTTTGGCGGGTTCGTACTCTCTGACTGGTGCTTTTGTTTTCAGAGGAGGAGAAAGAGCCGGGGCAGGAAGAGGAGGAGCCTCTGACAGGTGAAGAGGAACGATGCATCGCTGAAATGGGGAAGCCAATGCTAGGAGATCACCCCAAACTGGAGATTATCATCGAGGAATCCTATGAATTCAAGGTGCGCTATTTTAGCTACATATTTCCCATTTATTCATAATCACAAATTATCAAATCAAAGCAACTTTCACCCAAAAATTTAGTTAAACCAAAAATGAAAGTCAAGAGGTCGGATGTAGTTTTGCACCCCATTGGCTTTCATTGTTTGGACAAAAACGGTTCTTCAAAATATTTTATGTTCTGCTAAAATGGTCAAACAGGATTGTAACGACATGAAGTTTGAGTGAATAACGACAACATTTTTACATTGCATTACATGTATATAGTGCATAAATATACAAAAATTATATAGGGCATAAATTTACCAGTTCGGCCAATTATAATGTCAAATTTAATGCAATTATAATGTCAGTTATAAGCTCTAAATATAAAGTGTATTGCAGTAAGATATTTACTGCAATATGCTTTAAACATACTTTTTATTATTATTTGTGGATAATTTTCATGCGCAAATATGACACTGGATTGCTTCATTTAGAATTGACTAACTAACCTTTTAGGTCACTTATGAATCAGACCACAAATGTGTAGATACCTGTTCCTTCTTGTTGCTAATGGAAACAAGTCACTATCGTTCTGTCAGGGAAGTTCAGAGATCTTAAACATTGACATCTCATCGATCGCCTCCACACACTTCAGGACGATCCACATGTGCACTTTAGCCCACACGCACTCGGCGTGCTGAAACATACTCACACTCCGATCCCACACACACTTCACAGCGGGGCAGACCAGAGAGCAGTCAGAAGCACTCGATGAACTGTGGTCCGCCTCGTCTGAAGTGTGTATGTTTGTTTGTTCCGTTTAAGTTGCACTGGACAATAATGAAGCGGTCATTCATTTTCTTTGTGCGCTGTCTCTCTCTTTCCCCTATAGAACACAGTTGATAAATTGATTAAAAAGACAAACTTGGCTCTTCTGGTTGGCTCCAACAGCTGGAGGGACCAGTTCATCGAGGCCATCACAGTCAGCGCTGGTGAGTATTTCAGTTTGTGAGGAACATTGGGAGGTCTGATTTAGTGATTCATTAAAAAAAGAACATCTCGTTCGAGATGATAATCACTCATAAGTGCCTGCAAGGCTTTTTCGTTATTATTGTTGTCATAAAATACATTTTTAGTTAAATAACTACTATTTAGCACTTTGTTTTCGATTGGGTTATCAAGTGTCCAGTTCTGCTCCTGGGGGGCCACCTTCCTCTAGAGTTCAGCCTGCTCTAATACACCTTCCTGGAAGTTTCTAGTAATCCTAAAGAGCTTGATTAACTGGTTCAAGTGTGTTTAATTAGGTTTAAAGCTGAGCTCTGCTGGAAGGTGGCCCTCCAGGAGCAGGATTAGACATCCCTGGGTTATATAGATTGCATCAAATGTTGTGTTTATTGTAGGGTGACCATACGTGCCATTTTCCCAGGACATGTCCTGGCCAGGATTTCTATATAGCCTAAAATATCTAGGTTTTGGCTTTGTTTGCGTGTGCAGACCGATCGGTGTATGACATCAAAATAATTACCATACAGACGGTTCCTTATGCTTTCAAAATGCTCTCGAGGTATTTTGATGTCATACACCGATCGGTCTGCACACGCAAGCAAAGCCAAAACCTAGATATTTTAGGCAATATAGAAGTCCTGGGAAAATGACATGTATGGTCACCCTAGTTTATTGTTTCCTTTTGAAATTTCGAAAGTATGGTACTCCCTGCTATAAAGCGCCCCCTGGTGGCTGCTGTTTTACAAAAGAAATTCAGTTGTACAGCCTCACCCCACTCAAGACACTTAGGGCTGCGCAAAGGAGTCTTTATTCTCTGTAAAGGAGAGAAAGAAAGTAGATGGAGGCGGAGAAAGAGAAAAATGAGAGAGGGATTTTTTTTTTCGTTTTGTTTTCTCTGAAGTAATTAGCACTTGCAGCACGACCTCAGAGAGACTGATGATCATAGAGGCTGCTGCTCTAGCCGTGTGTGTTTGTGTGGATCAGGTGTTGGTGACTAATGGCGCTTTTCCACTGCGTGGTACGACTCGGCACGGTACGGCTCAGTACGGTACGGCACGGCTCGGCTCGGCTCGGTTTGCGTTTCCACTGCAGTTTAGTACCGCTTTAGAGTGGGCGGGATTATTCACATGTCGTTATAGTTGCGCCGCCTCTACTGCCGCGACTCCTAAAAATACTTTTTCATTCCGCGTCGCCCTATCAAGCTCTCGCTGGATCCGCTCCTCTGCTATCAACGAGAGGAACGTCTGTACTTCCTCAACAGACAACGAGTACTGTACCCAGTGGAAACCCCCCCAAAAGTGAACCGTCCCAAGCCGTACCGTGCCGTACCATGCAGTGGAAAAGCGCCATTAGTGGTTCACACTTGAACACCTTTCAGTGTGCCAATTTGTGCTCTGGGGCAAAGCAAGGTTAAAAGCCTTTGTGTGTGTGTGTGTGTGTGCGCGCATGTTGCTCTATCTGCTGTCAGAACTGACCTGTAATCACCAGTCCAATACTGCTAGGCATAGACTTCTGTCAGACCAAGTCTTTTCATACAGCATCTACAGTAGTTATGATGGTTGTTTTCAAAATAGCTTTTTTTCATGTAAAAAAAATCTTTAAAGGGGTCATATGATGCGATTTCAAGTTTTCCTTTCTCTTTGGAGTGTTACAAGCTGATTGTGCATAGATAAGATCCCTGAAGTTGCAAAGACTAAAGTCTCAAAACCAAAGAGATATTCTTTATCAAAGTTAAGACTCTGCCACGCCCCCCTAAAACGGCTCGTTCTAACACGCCCCACATATCTACCTCACTATGTGGAAATATTAGAATAATGCAGCCCAAATGTGCACGCAAAGAAAGAAAGCATGGTTTCAGTAACCGCAGTTAGTGTTGAAACAGCCATGTCAGGGAGACGCTGTGTATTTCTAGGCGAAAGCAAAAGCACTTTATGTGGCCTTCCGAAAGTAGATGCATTTAGGAAGCCCAACCACATCACACAGCTACAAAAACACAATTACATTGCTTACTGGAAAGATGCCACTAAATTACAAAAGAAGATGGAGCTGTATTTAGACCTAAAAAGAGACTACAAACCAGCAGAATACCTGAGCTGTGTAAAAGATCACAAATTAAGAAAGACACTGACAAAATACAGACTTGAGTGATCACTGTCTGGCTATAGAGAGAGGACGACACAGACAGAGATGGCAGCCGCGAGAACAGAGACGGTGTTCACTGTGCTCACAGAAAGAGCTGGAAACAGAGGAACATTTCTTACTGCACTGTGATTACTATCACAACATTAGAGCTGCATATTTCCCCAAATTCCAACAAATTAAACCACATTTTATGGCATTACCAAATACAGAAACATTTTAGGGGAAGATTCCAAAATGATCCCAACAGCAGCAATATATGTATCAGCCTGTCACAAACTAAGACTGTCAGCCAGTGGACAAATGTCAACATATTCTGTTACACCAAATACACCAAATAATGATCTTTAAAAAAGCATCATATGACCCCTTTAATATATGTAGAGGAATTTAAAGGGATATTCCACACAAAAAAATACATTCTGTCATCATTTACTCACCATCTTGTCATTCCAAACCCGTATTACTAATATCTGAAGTATCTGATTTAAGTATGAATTGTTCTTGTGAGTCTTTTCAATGAATCAGTTGGATGATTCAGTAGTCTTTTCCTCCGCTACACCTCTCAGATCTCATTCAGATTCACATTTATTTAGATTTGTTGTGTCAAGCCATGTCGGGCCAAGTTGTCAGTAATGGTAAATGTCATTGGTTCTTGTATGTCTTTTAACAAATCACAGTGTTCCAAATTTCAGTATGTGCATTTTCAAATCGTATGAATAAGATTTGAGTGCACAAGTCATATAGACAATTTATATTATACTTTCATGGTGCTTTTTTGTCATTTTTTGGACCTTGGCAGCCCCTGGCCACCATTCACCTTCATTGTGGAAAACAACAGCGTGAACATCCTGCATTAATCATTACCATCACTGACAGATAACAAATGGAAAACTGGTTTATTTTTTTATCTAATGCCACTGAGTACAGAACAGAGATTTCTCCATGACTTTTTATCAGGACACGCAGACACATACATATACGCAAATGTACACAGAAAGGGACAAAGAAGCGGAAAAGGTCTGCAGCTAATGGCAGTAAATTGAAGAGTTTAAAGTATAAAAGCTTTGCTAAATGTCAGACTCTGCAGCACAGCGAGATGATTTATATCGAAAGATAAGGAGAGAGTAAACACAACATGAGCACTGAGTGTGTGGGGGTTTACTTATCTATAGATGGACATAAAATTGTCCCCAGAAGTTAGCTACATGTGACACAAACCTCCCTTTGGAGACGTTTGGGGATATCCTTAACTGGACAAATGATCCATGAAGCATTTTTCCATAAATAATTAAAAATAAACAACATAATTCTAAATTATCTTTGAGGGTTAAGATAATTGTTTTTATATAAAAATCTTTTTCAGTAAATTAAATAAAGATGAAATAAAATGTAATATAAATATCAGATAAAAAACTGAAAACACACACACTTATATATGACAAAAGCCCCTAACAAAATTACAAATTACTAAAATTTAAACTAAAATGAAAACTGAAAATGTAAAAATAAAAGCTACAATTCAGAATATTAATATATAGTATAATTATATATAAATAATACTAATATCATTATTTAACATTTTTATTTAAAAACAATGTAAGTCTATAGTATGTCCTCATTTAGGGGAAAATCATTGCCAAATATAAGCTAAATTTGACAAAACCTCTCTTTGAGGACAGTTGTGGAAGTCTGTGAAGGTCAGTCTGTAGAAACTATATTTAGATATATATAACAGTATCTTACACAACTTTGCAAGTCAATTGATCTAGTTTAAAGGTTTTTTTTTTTTTGCATTGTCAATGACATTATGGTGACTGTGGTCTGAAAGCAAACTGATGCTCTTTTATGAAGCGTTTACTCCCTTCAGACACACTGAACCGGACAGCACATAAAGCATCACGTTGACCTTCTCTGTCTCTTTAGCACAGATGTGTGCATATTTACACACATGCTGCAGTAACAGCAGACATCATCGTGACCTTCAAATACTCTTGGGCTGTGATGAAACACACATATACACTCGTGTAGATCAGCTGACATTTCTGTTTGAATCTTTAAAAGCAACTCACAATGATTCAGTCTTTTTGAATCTTTTTGAATTTGAGGTTATTAATCATAATTTTTATTTGATACCTTTTTTGTGTATTTTTAATGATCAGTATGAATGTTCTGTCTAAGCGTGTGTGTGTTCCAGCCTAAGCATCTACTTTATCAATAATCCTTTTAATCACAGTGTGCAATCAGGTTTTTGCCTGTGAACAGAATTAATGTCTTAGCGAACCAATGACTAAATCCACTGACTTGAATATGTTTGCTCTCAGCTGCTGCTGTGAATAGGCGAGATTTCTGAACATCCTGTAGCATCTAATCACACTTTAAAGGAACAGCCTCACCTGTCAAGAGAACACTGTGTGGGCGCCTGGAAGCTGCTCTCTTTATGCTCTCAAGGAAATGCAGCACCAACGGAATATCAAACAGATTACAACCTTCCTGAACACACACACGCACGCTGTGTGCTCTACATATCGATAAAGGCTTTATCGATATGATAAAAAATTTGTTTTTTATCATATCGATAAAAAACTAATATTGAAGAACTTCCACAAACAGTGTCCCATTTTTCATATTTATTTAAATCACTTTTAGCATTTCATAACTCTGTTTTATAATAAATGTATATATTGTTTTGGTAACAAATCCATTTCTCTGCATTTATGCAGAACTATTTGTGGAAGTTAGAGGTGTCGCAGTATACCAGTATTGATGATAACTGTGATATTTAAGAAATGAAATATTGATATCATGTTAATAGGGGTTCCGCAATTTACAAACTGTTCCCATCTGAAACTGTTTAAAAAATGAAATAGGCCTGCCATCAAACAGGATGTCATGTTAATACTGTAATAATAATGTTAAATTCATTTGTCCAAGATAATCGTGTAGTGAAAATCTAATATCGTGACAGCCTTATTGGAAGTATTACAGTTGTTTAGAGAAGTGCTGTAGTGGTTTTTGTTTTAGAAGAAAATTAAATCCAAGTGGCTTTTATCTCAGTGGGCCTTTAGACACATTGTACCCTATCAGCTAAAAATAATTTACATGTTACATTATCTGCTAAAATCACTTTGCTAACTTTTTACCTGCTTACATCTGGGGGGGGTTTCAGCTGTACTGCCACAACGACTGACCTGGTATGTGGCTTTTAGGTACAGAATATATATTTTTAATATTTTCTGAAGAAAAGTGGTGCCTGGTCTGTGCAAAACTGACTGCTACAATGATGTTTTTTGTAGGCAGTTGCCAGGTTGCTGCTGTGTGGTTGCTAAGGTCTTCTGAGTGATTTTAAGTGCATTCCTATTCAGTTGATAGGATGTTGATGTTCTGGGTGGTTGATAGGGGGTTGCTAAGGTGTTCTGGCTAGTTCTGAGTGATTTTTAGATACATTCCTACGCAGTTGCAACGGTGTTCTGGTGGGTTGCTGTGGTATTCTGGGTTGTTCCCAGGTGGTTGCTAGATTGTTATGGATGGTTGTTAGGTGGTTTCTTATTAGCCCAAGTGAAAACAGGCCACTCTGGTCCCTAGAAATGGGTCGGATCCCTGCTTCAATGTATATCTGATATTTTTTGCTTGTTTTATTGCCTGCCATGTGAACATTGTAGGTCAGTTTGCTTAGAAATTTGAGATAAATAACACTTTTTGAAAGTCAACTTTAGTTATTCTGCTGACTAAGTAACTTTGCAACTACATGTCAACATGTCAAAGTTACTTATAGTTAGTAGAATATCCAAAGTGGATGATCAAAATAAAGTGTAACCTTGAGATATCATTAATTTCCGTAGCACTAATGGTACAGGACATGTGCCAAATTTCAGTACTTAGGGTTTTATTAACCTTCTATAAGGTCATATTTAATTATTTCTCATTATCTTCCTGCAGGTGAGGATGATGATGATGAAGAATGCGGAGAGGAGAAGCTCCCCTCCTGCTTTGATTATGTCATGCATTTCCTCACCGTCTTCTGGAAAGTTCTCTTTGCCTTTGTCCCGCCCACCGACTACTGGAACGGGTGGGCATGTTTCGTGGTGTCAATCATTATGATTGGCGTCCTGACGGCTTTCATCGGAGACCTGGCATCGCACTTCGGCTGCACCATCGGACTCAAAGACTCCGTCACAGCAGTGGTGTTTGTGGCTCTGGGAACTTCAGTCCCAGGTGAGAGAGAGAGGGTAGTGGCTAACATAAAAAACATATGCGCCTCTGATTTTTGTCTTTCAGCCACCCATGTTTGTGTTTACATACAGTCATTTATCATAAAATGAGGATGTCCAAGCACTAGTGTGTGTGTGTGTGTGTGCTGGGCTATGATTATGATATATCATATAATTATGCAGAGTAAAGCTCCTTGCTACATTGCACATCCATATATTACCTTCATCAGTCATGATAACTGTTATTTAAAACACGAGACACACACACACACACACATACTGCTATGTTCATGTACAGAACACACACACCCAGCCGTTAAAGAGATTGGGTCTGCTGGAAGAGCAGTGCATGTTCACCATGTTTAGTATTCCAGACACACTGGACTGCTCAGAGAGAAAACGCTGAGAGGGCAGAAAGCAGAAGCATTCCCATCTCCCTCTCTAATGCTGTTCTTCTCCCTCTTTACCTCACTCACACCATTTCTTTTCTCACCATCTCTCGCTCTTTTGCCCTTCTCATCTCACTGCAGAAAATCATTTTCTTGCATTTGCATCTTGCTTGTAAAAGCCATCATAATGTACATGGACAATGTCATGCACATACAAGGACATAATTTTCTTAATTAGTATTTTTTTCAAAACATCCTTAAAAGGACAGTTCACCCGAAAATAATATTATTGTCATTATTTGTTCACTCTCATGTCGATCCAAACATGCATGACTTTCTTTAGTCTGTGGAACACAAAATAAGATACTTTGAATAATGCTTTTTGTCCATATACAATAAAAGTCAATGGAGTTCAACACAACAATGGACCCCACTGAAATTCATTGTATGGAAACAAATAATATCTTATAGTTTAACGGAATAAAAAAAGTCATAAAGATATGGAACAACATGAGGTTGAGTAAATTGTGACAGAATTGTAATTTTTGGGTGAACCATCTCTTTAACAAAAGGATACATTTCCTTGAGAAGTTTTTTCCTGGACCCAAATTTTATTGCAGTAGAAAAAGAAACCTTAATTAAATATTGATTGAGTAGTACAGTTTGTGTAAAAACTAATATTGAAGAACTTCAGCAAACAGTGTCCCATTTTTCATATTTATTTAAATCACTTTTAGCATTTCATAACTCTGTTTTATAATAAATGTCTATATTGTTCTGGTAACAAATCCATTTCTCTGCATTTTTGCAAAACTATTTGTGGAAGTTAGAGGTGTCGCAGTATACCAGTATTAATGAGAACTGTGATATTTAAGAAATGAAATATTGATATCATGTTAATAGGAGTTCCGCAATTTACCTGTATTGGCAATAAGCGTGGCGTTTAAAAAATGAAATAGGCCTTATGTCAAAGATAATCGTGTAGTGAAAATCTAATATCGTGACAGCCTTATTGGAAGTATTATAGTTGTTTAGAGAAGTGCTGTAGTGGTTTTTGTTTTAGAAGAAAATTAAATCCAAGCAGTTTTTATCTCAGTGGGCCTTTAGACACATCAGCTAAAAATTATTTACATTGTACATTATCTGCTGAAATCACTTTGCTAACTTATTACCTGCTTACATCTGTGTGTGTGTGTGTGTGTGTGTGTGTGTGTGAGCATGTGCTTAGATGGTCTTGATAAAGTCACAAAGTCTGGTTCAGGTGCCAAAAACAATGGGGCACTTACACATTTAACTAGTAACCGGTCAAAAATCGAAGTCAATAGTAAGGTAAATGAAGCAAACTTTAAAAACCATTCTAGTGAAAGGTTTACGACTACATCTATTGATTGTTTTTCTGCTGTTTCTGCACAGTTTGACAAAATGACAAATGCTGCACGTTGCAAACTGAACGGGGCTTTATTGAGCAGTTAGCAAATGTGTCAATCTGTATTGAGAGATTAAAGCTGTACTGCGTACCGAGAAAACAACTGAACTTCCAAATAGCCAAGCGAGCCTGGCGAAGGAAATGTACGGTGACTGATAAGGCAGCTTTTCACCAATGCTTTTAAAGTGCCCCTGTTATGCCATTTTTAAGGATCCTAATATTGTTTCGGGAGGCTCCTACAACAGGTTTACATGCATGCAAGGTCAAAAAACACATTTTCTCATAATATACATTTAATTTCACTGCATTTCTCAATGATTCGTAAACGATTCGTACAAAGTAGTTCGAAGAGTCAGTCTCTCTAAACCCCTGCTTTCGTGAGCCTATTCTGCTCTGATTGGTCAGATGGCTCAGTCCTTTGTTTTTGGTCTAAAGTACTACATACAGCGCATGTTGGAAACGAAACACCCATTGCCATAACTGCTCCAGAGAGAATGACTAGAGAGAAAAGATGCTATCGATTTTACCTTATAAATTCAAGCCCAAGTCCCCGAGATTAGAGAAGCAGTCGTCAGTAAAATGATGGGAACACAAAAAAGATTGGGGTTGTACTGCTGTAGTATCGTTGGAACAATGAATGTCAACGACTGATTCTTTGCAGCCTCATCTTTCGGATGTGAAAATAAAACAAAATTTATTTCGCAACGTAGGACACAGCGTCTTCTCGACATGATGTTAATCACACACACAAGATACAGTGTTTGATGGCAGGGTTAAGTTGTTCGCGGCCAGCCAACATAGAACATAAGCGGGCATTATGCAAATGTGTTACTCTGTGTCATGTAGCCGTCACAGAAGAGGGATTCGAATTCCTGATGACTCGTTTAAGTGATTCCGGCTGAGCCACAGAGACATTTGTAGTTGATAAAATACTAAATTTGTGGTCATTTTTTAAAATTTGTGTCCGTGTGCAAACGTAAGCAGTTTGAGGTTTATAACAGTTTCAAAGTCTGTAACAGTCTGGAACACTGATCTCTTTAACTCCGTAATGATTAACTGCTCCAGAGCGTCTTTCTGGGATGAAGCTTTTCATCGCCATGACACCCACATTAGCGGCAGTTGTCGTCCGCACGCTGCCAGGCTCTTTGGCAGGACTTTACACCAGACTGGGTGTTAGCTGAGCCTTAACTGAGAATTTCCATGGTAATGCCATGGAAACGGCTCCATCCATGCTGTTGTTTACAGCAATATAACAGGACGGTGATGAACAAAGAGAAGGGAAAATGTTATTTCAGAAATAAGCACTTTACAGTAAACCCAGCTTTGACTTCATTTTGCTGTGTCTTTGAGATGTTGTTGAGTCAATTTTGGTCTCTTAAGCCTTTAAATGGCTGATGTTGCTCTCAGATACTTTGTGTGATTTGCAGGGAAAGTTTCTAACCTTAACTTTTAGACAGATGTTGAGTGCTGCAGTCATGTCGTGCTGGAATTACCATAATTACGAGATGACAACTTTGAGCTGCTCACATCCTTGGACTCAAAAATGATTAATTTCTATGGGAACGCTAATTGTTAATTTCAGAAAAATGCCTCATGATGACGTTAAAACACCTCCTTAAGCACACTATTTTAAAACGAACACTAAACAAAAAGCACACTATTACATTACGTATAATAAAATGACATATTAATCATATTTTGAAATGAGTTTCTTCTGCTCACTGAAGCTGTATTTATTTGATCAAAAATACAGTGATACACAATGAAAATTGTGAAACATTATTACTATTTAAAATAACCCCTTTTCGTTTTAATAATTAAATATATTCTTACTCAGGTCTTAAGTGTCACTTGATCCTTCAGAAATCATTCTAATAAGCTGATTTGATGCTGAAGAAGCATTTCTTATTATTATCAGTGTTGAACGTTTGCTGCTTAATATTTTTGGGGAAACCAAAATGTCTTTAAATCAAGTATGATAGTATATATCATAATGATCTTCTTTTTTTTTTTTTGGTTTGATGTAATGTTCAGTGATAAAAATATTTTTGGATATTTTTTCACTTGAGATGCACTGCAGGAACACAAATATGTAAATATGAATGTGTGAATATTAAAGTGTATATCCGCAGGGTAGCAAGACCTTTAAATGAGGATAATGGCTCTTTGTGACTACAGGCAGCAAAGAGTAATATCAACATATCCAGAGGAGTTCAGCAGGGTTATGTGTTATGCACTATATTAGCATAACGAACGAGAGAGAGGAAGATTAAAAGAGACGGAGAGGAATAAAGAGTTAGAAAGGGAGTGTACGTGCGTCTAGGATTATTTAGAGGTCTTTCCAGACAGAACGCACCATCAGCATCCTATTGGTTTCTCAGCTGTCTGCAGTAGATCACCCTGTTAGCATGCAGCTGTCTCTGAGCGAGAGAAACAGCAGACAGCCCTCTGATTTCAACTCAAATCAGAGGTTAACCAGGCTTTTATTACAAAATTACATCCTCACCAAAAAAGGAGAGACACGCGAGAGAGAGAGAAGATGAGTACTGTGTGCGCTTAAGGGGGTCTGAATACTTTCCGTACCCACTGTATGTGTGCACTGCGCACAAAAAAAAGTTTTCTCAACTATTATTTTTGTTTTATTTTCTGGAAGAAAAAAAAAATCTAAACATTTAGACAAACAAGATGTACTTGAAGTAAAACTATTTTAATTATTTGTTTATTTTAATTACTTGATGTTAATTTAATATTTTTTAATTACTTGTTTTCAGAAAATATATCTTGATTTTTTCAATTTATTTATTATTTTTCATTCTTGTTTTAAGCATAACCTCACAAAATGTTGTTACATTTATGCATTTTTGTTACATTAATGCTTTTTGTGATTCATGGCAAAATACATACATAAATATTCTTCATTTTGAAAAACTTTGATTATTTATTTTACAAGTATAATGTGTAAGTTACATTATTAAACTGTCACAATATTTATGAAATAATGATAGAATATTTATGAAATATTGCTTGATAAACTTGCTCAGATACACTTACTCGCTCATCTATGTATTCTAGTTACATTAATGCTCTTTATGATTTATGGTTTACTTAGTTGTCCTTTTTGGACAAGAATTGTTCCCAGAAATGATCTAAATCTTTCAAAATCAATTAAAATAAATAAATGCATACATATTTTATTTTTAAACATTTTATTTGTTTGTTTGTTTATTTATTTATTATTTTACAATTAATATAATATGAATATACAATGAATAATTCCAAGTTATTATTTTATTAATCTACCAGAATGTTTATGAATCATGATAACTATTGACAGAAGTGTTTTACTGTACTAACACCTCTCTTTCTCCTCTATCTCGTTTCTTTCTCTTTCTCCTGTCATCTTGCTCTCAGACACCTTTGCCAGTAAAGTGGCAGCGACACAGGATCAGTACGCCGACGCGTCCATTGGAAACGTGACGGGCAGCAACGCCGTGAACGTCTTCTTGGGCATCGGAGTGGCCTGGTCCATCGCCGCCATCTACCACAACTCAAAGGGCCACGATTTCAAGGTGGAGCCGGGTAGCCTGGCCTTCTCTGTCACCCTCTTCACCATTTTCGCCTTTATCTGCGTGGCAGTGCTCATGTACCGTCGCCGGCCCGACATCGGCGGCGAGCTGGGGGGTCCGCGGACTGCTAAAGCGCTGACCACCATGCTTTTCGTCAGCCTCTGGCTCCTCTACATCCTGTTCTCCTCTCTGGAGGCTTACTGCCACATCAAGGGCTTCTAAACACACATACAAGCGCTCACACATGCATATACACGCAGAACTACACACCTTCACACAGTGACACACACCATCATACATTCTGTGGAAAATACACAAAGACTAAAGGGAAAAGACTAAAGACTGCAGAGGAAGGCAACAGCGGTGGAATCGGTTTCGGGTTCATGTGGATAATCGTTTTCCGCAGACCATCGGCCTGTTCTTCTGTTCTCTCAACACGCCACTCCTTCATCCTCATCTTCCTCTGTTTGTTGTGTGACTGCATCTGATTGGACGGGGGTGTGACCACAGTATTCAAACATCAAACCTAGACTATGAAAAGCTACTATTGCTACCTTTAACTACTGTAGTTGTGCTTTTTTAACCTAAACCAGTATAAAAGCCACGTGGGACCGTGGAATCTGTAAGCTCCCTTCTTAGTGCCATGGAACTCTGGATAATGTGTGTTATAGGTTTGTTATCTTAATGTGGACCGAGCGGTACTGTAATTTTGCTTGGGTGATTTTTCAGACACATTACTTTGTGTTTACAAATAATGTAATCGGAGCGGTCCTAACTGAAAGGGGTCGACTAAACGGCTTTTGTTGTTCTTGAGCAGCTTCTAGTTCCCGTGAAGGCCAGTTTTTATCCTGCTCTTGCACTGGTGCAGTTCATTCCAGTTCAGAAAGAGAATAACAATAAGGAGAGTGCAGTATGCCAGCTCTAATCTCTCCCGGCGCTGAAGCTTTAGAGACCAGAGGTGCACTAGTGCAAGACTTTGATTTAAAAGCCTTGATCTGACGTTCTCAAAGATCGTAAAGTGCTATTGAAGAGCTCGGGTTAAGGAACATCCTGAATTTTCTAATATAAATATACCGCAGTTTGTTACTGATTAGATGATTAATTTATGCAATCGATGGACCGTGTGTGAGGTCAGTCTAGTGAAGATAATCTAGCATGTGACATGCTTTTGCCAACATCACATTGAGAGTTTACAATTATGACTGTTACTTTCTGTCCAAACCTACACGCATACATTTACGGACACACACACTACGAGAAATACGCAAAAACAGTGGCCATAATTTCAGCGATTTGTTCTCAGACACACAATTTACAGTCTTACACATGCAAGCATGTATAATTGGTAGTCTTTTGCTTGATAAACTTACTCATGCAGATACAGTCAGTCACTCATCTATGTGGAGTTTACGAGGGCACGCTTTCCCTCCAACCCTGCTGAGATTGCTTCTTTGTACTGTGTAGATTCGCTGCATATGGAGCTTGTAAGGTTAAGCTCATAGAGTAGTCACGGTTTTAGACGTAGGTCGATTTTAAAAGCAGAAATTGTAGAACTAATCTGAATTTGACTCTAAACACCTTTAGGATAGCATGGTTTAACACAAACGAACTGAAAAAAAACGTAGCTCGGTTTTCAATTTTGAAAATGCAATTGCAGGATTTTTCACTCTACAAAGTTTGATTTCCAGTCTTAATGGGGAAGTAAAAATGTACTGAGCACAGTAGATCGGATGTAGTTATTTTGGACTTCATCTATTGTGTAGTTTGCGCCAAATTTGCCAAAGGGAAAATCTTTCTAATGGAGAACTGCAGTGTGCCACACAGCCCCTAAAGTGGGTTTTCTATTTCGAATCGTACGTTTTTTTACCCACACCAAAAATGTCCTTGCAAGGATAAAGAGGCCTTGGTGACATTTCTTATAGGTGTTTGTACTGAAGGGATCCAGCCTACAGCTCTTTTACTGCATCTGAACACCTTTTCTTGTAATGAAAGTGTGTTTTTAAAGGGATTCTGTGTTGAGGTTTGTAGTTTCAGTAGCTTGATTTTGAAAGAGAAGAAGAATTTAGCTTGAATAGCAGTTTATTCTTTCTTTTTTGTTGTGTTCGTTTTATTTTGTTTTACATTTTTACTGAAAGGAAATTATATTGTACCAGCTCCAGGGCATTTCTGTAGGAAACCTTTGATGATGACCTTTAATCCCTGATGAAGATGATCCGCTGTTGCTTTCTAATTCTAAGATCCACAAGAAAGACACTACAAACAAAGAAGGACAAAACCAACAACAATAAAAAAAATTAAAAAAAAGACTTTTTCGTGAAGCCTAATATCTATTTAACCAATAAACAAACAGATGAAGTTGGAGTGAAGTTGGTGAAACCATGTGAATTACAGCCATACCAAGTTCTGCCGAGAAGACTTTGACGGCTCGCTAGCCGTCACACCAACCGACCGCAGGTGCACCTCTCTGTACGGGGCGTTCAAACGGTACATGGTCTCTACGGTTTATACTGTATATGTATTTGCTTTGGCAGAGCAGGGGTCAGCAATTGTGCATCTGTGCTCTGGTCTGTAAATCAGGGCGTGGCTGCATTGGAACCGCCCCCCTGTGGAACCTAGCCCCTCCCTTTACCCCGCCCCCTTGTTTGCCATGTCCATATTTGGAATGTTAATGTGCTTAGTGTTGACAATGCATGGATGCTAACCTGTCTGTATATAGTACGCAGAATCCCCTTCATTAATGTAGTCGACAGAGGTTTGAAAGCTGTATAGATATTCAGACTTTTGTTTCGTTTGCTTGTTCATTTGATTTTCCTGTCCGTAAGTTTCATTTGAATGCGTTTCGTTTTTTGTTTTCTTTTCTTGCACATGTATATTAAAAAGGCAGTATCTGTCGTTTGGTGCAGGAGCACATGTACAAACGAAGGAAGCAGTCACCGCTCTGCCGTTATCACAGAGAGAATACAACATATTTATTTAAGACTTCAGAATGACAAATATTGCCTTTTGGATTGATTGTTGCATAGAGCTTGTTTTGTTCTAGTTTCTTCGCTGAGCAGTGTGTGCGCGAGTGTGTGTGTGTTTGTTTGGTCGGTCTGGAGCAGTCTGTGATATTTGTAAGAATTAAAAGAACATATAATCCGTTATTTATCTGCTCTGAGTCTGTAAACCATCTTGCAAAAATCAGTGAACCATCTGGAAAATGTCTGTACAACATTAGGAGAATGTGTGTGAAGCGTCAGGGTTTGCCTTGTGTATGTCTAACATTCCTAAACCCCCTCTCTCTTCCTCACTGCTCAGACGGACTCCAGTCTTTCAGGGGTTTAATACTAATCTTTGATAATATTATTTCCTCCTCCCCCCTCTCTCTATTACTCTCTCTCTCCTCTAACTCTCCAATCCAAGGCCTCACTAGCATCTTGCATTAATGTGTCCAGTGAAATTATGTAGGTTGTATGTTGTAAACAATCGCAGTGTATATGTGTAAAGATGTTCCTGGTATTCCTGAACAGTGCGTGTATGTGTGTAAATGCCTACATTTCACTTATATTTAATGTTTAAATTTAGAGCATGTATAAAGGTTTGCATAACCACTTATACTGTAGAGAATATTGATCTTAACTAGTAATTTTGTCTTGTTTTCTTGTAAGAAATACCTAAAAATCTATAAATCAAGATAGATTTATATAAGATATTAAGACAAGTTTTCAAAGAATACATCTCAAATTATTTTTTGTTGTTTCAAGCATAAATCTAACAATTTAATGAGCTCTATGCTTAAAAACAAGAGGGGAAAATTAAATATTAAAAAAGAGAATATTTATACAGGAAAACAAGACAAAACACTTTTTTTTTTTTTGCAGTGTAAACAACATGGCAGAAAGCTCTTATGTCAAAGCAGGATTGAATGTATTGTATGTAACGTAATAGCTGGTCTAAATGAAGGCTGTAATTTTTATTATCTTATCTGTCTTGTACAGATCGAGGGCCTCAAATCATTGTGTGTGTTTGATCGCTGTAAGCTAACGCTGAGAGTCATGTTAATGCAACTGTGTGTGGCCTTGTGGCATAGTGCGTCTTACTCAGTCCTCTTGTCATGGGCTTATTAAAGCTGACTCTATTTTCCTCCTCTCTCTCTCTCTCTTATCTCTTCTTTCTCTCTTGCACTTTTCGCTTTATTTCATGCTGTTTTGTTTTGATCGTTAGATTGTTTTAATTCCAATCTGAATAATGAAATGAGATTTTTTTGTTTTTGTTTTGAATTATTTTTGTGTTGCACTCAATCTAATAAGATGGAGGTCCACTAACTGTGATTGCTCCCCTAGTACACCTCTACACAGGAAATAAAGTTTGGGAAATCCTGTTTAGAGCCAAGTGGCTGCAGTGTGTCTCTTTTTATGATTGTGGTTCTGAATAAGCATACACACACACACGTTACTGATGTCCAGCAGACAGAAGGTGTTATCTTTAATGGTGTTGTGGAAACTACTTTGAAACTGCCAAGCTGCATAGTTTAAGGTAGTTACTAACAAATATTAATTAACTACATGATTTAAAGGTGCTCTCAGAATTTATATATATATTTTTTATTTTTTTTGCTGACCTTATGTGTGGTTATATTTACCTCTGCAAAATTTTGCAGGCCAAACTGAGTAATTTCAATAGAAATCCATGCTGTTATGCTTGAGGGAGGAAAAGTCACGCAGATTAGCTTGTGACTGAGTTGTGCTTCATGCATCGCTACTGACAATGGGCAATGGACCGTTTTTCTAAGAAATCTCACCGCAATGTCATAAATGTAAATGCATCTTAACACTGACAACTAGCTCACCAAGCAGGTATATCAGCAACAGGTATTTATTTTGACTTTAGAATTTCAAATTTTTTTACTGGATGAAAAATGACTGGGGACAATATAAATATATAAACATCAAGATGATGCAGTAGATCATTTATCTGACACAGAAACACATTTTGGTGATGGCATAAAATAAATTATGGTCAAAAATATAGCAACCCATTTAGCTTCAAAAAAACAGATGCAAGGCTTAAAATGAATCAGAGAATCATTTGATCACTTTTATTTACAAAAACCATATTTAAAAAATGATTTGCTAAAATTAACCTGACTTCTCGTTGCTACATGTGAGAAAGAGAACGGATCTATTTGACAATTAATGGAGTTGTAACTATAAATTAGCTGTATGGTAATAATTATATAAATATGTACCTTGAATGCACTGTCGCTTTTCAGTATCCAGGACATTGTAGAGTACAGGTGTGTTTGAATGTGATGTAGAGTATGTGCCTGTCTTACAAAATAATACAGAGATTTCATGTTGCACATTCAATAACTGCTCAAATATTTTTTTGTCTCCTGTTATTCTCAGTTGTAAAGAGGTCATTGTTGGGTAACCCTGGGCCAGGCCATGCATTTGATCTTGAAAGCTTTTTGTGCAAAGAACACAAATCAATCCATGATTCAGATTCCATTTGTAATTCAGGTAATGAGTTCTGGTCAAACTGAACATGTCTTGGACTCACATTGTCTGTGGAAAACGGCCTTCAGGAACAAATGAAATTCAAAAGTTTCACTTGCCAATTCTCTCATGCCACTAATAAAGAAGACAGAAGGAAACAAGGCTTTACTGACTGAATATAGTTGTAAGAGGGCACACAGATTCATCCTTCAGTTCTGCATGAACAATATGAGACAAAATATCAACTTATATTTTACTGAGATACATAGAAGGTGCTTTCTGTCACATCTTTCAGTTTTGTGTTTCCGTCTTGTGTTAAAGGACTTTTAAGTTCCTCTGCTCCCTTGTTTGTTGCCCTAGTTACCCCTATGTGTTGCCATGGTGTTTCATTGGCTCCTCCCCCCTTCCTAACTTGTTTCTCTGTGTATATATATACCCCTGTGTTTCAGTGCTTGTTGGTCAGTTGTTGTGTTCCCTGTAGATGCGTGTGTTCCTTGTTGCCAGCTCATGGTTTCCTGTTCTCTTGTGTTCCTGTGTTTTGTTAGTCTTTTCATTTGTTAATGAACTCCGCTTGCATGTGGATCTGCCTCTTCTCGCCTTTGCTCAGCTCCTAGCATTACAGAACGACTGACCACAACAGTGATCCAGCAGCTGAGTTAGTTAGAAGTGACGCAGAAGCACAGTCACAGAGGCCTATGGGCCTTTCCCAATGCCCACACTTGCGGTCTCGGGTATAACTTGAGAGTGCATGGACGTGACAGGAAGTAAGTATGCAAGACCATCCCAGGTCTGAAAAGCTCAGTGCCCTTAATACATACTACTAAATCCACACTCTAATGCCACTTCAGGGCTAAGCGTATCATTCATCACGTTGAGGAGTTGTGATGCCCCGAAATTGAGAGATGTCGAAACTTTGCAGCGTAACTTATTTTAATTAGGTATCACATATAAAATGTAAAGTGTTGCACATTTTATTAGTATGGAGATGGGTATGCATATTTTGTAAAACGTTTGCAACTGCTTTTTATCATTTAATAAGCACCACAATTAAGTTGCTGTTCACAGGGACTACAGAACAGAAATGTAGAAGTTTATTTTGAAGTGTAAAGTATTATATGTACAAAATGTGTAAATAAAGTTCTGTAAAAACTTTACTTGCATTTTTACACTGTGTTGTAAGTGTGTTTCATTTCTTAATCAAACATTTTACTCAGACTTGCGTTTTTAACGCCCAAATGAACATCTAAAATACAGGAAATACAACATTTAAGGAAACAAGTAGTCAAGTGCAAAGACCACAAGTGTGAGACAGCCCCCATCACTTCTCCCGCAAGTTTCACAACATGCTAAAGTTAACGTCAAACATGACAGTGGCCAGAAGTGATGGGTCATAGTCATGACCTGGATTATATTTGTAAAGTTCTTTGTGTTCAGTTCATCTGAAGAAAGTAAGTCACATGAGGCATGATGGTGAGAAAATCATTTTTATTTTTGGGTGGACTATCCCTCTAAGAAGGTGGCGCAGGGCAGGCAATACTTCGATTAGCATATTCACGCTCATTGTAACTTCTGATTTTTAATACTGCGAATGTGAAGAACAAATGATTATTATTCTTTAAAAGAACATGTACTCGCCCTAATGTTGTTCCAACATTTAATTTTTTTTAGTCACGCTTTTAATGTTTGTGAAGGAGCAGAGCCAATTATTATCAAAATATCTAATGTTATGTTCCACATAAGGTCCTACAGTTTAGAACTACATGAAGGTGAGTAAACGAGTGAGCTATT